CTTCCCCTGCGCTTGGTGGTCGCCACACTCATGTCTTCCCCTGCGCTCGGTGGCACCTGGACCTCAGTCGAGCACATCTTTACATGATACCCAGGAGTTAGTTCTGCTCCTCCCCACAGTCTACCCAGGTCTCCATCGCTTTTCCCATCCTGCAACTGAGAAAAATCAAGGCTCAGAGATGGGCAGTGTTCACCTCAGGTTCCACAGCCAGAAGTACAGAACAGGGACTCTAACGCCCATCCGCAAGCCCCAACCTCATACTTGTGGCCATACCAGGTGGCATTACAACATTCCTTCCGGACTGAGCATGCTGTATGACCTCATACCCGTGCGTATACACACTCAGAGGCTTTGTCCCATCTACCCGCTCTCAACAGGAGGGAGGGGGAAGATTGTAGGACCATTTGCCCAAAGACACCCTTGGGCTGGGCTGTGGTGGCACACACCTATAATCCCAGCACTTGGGAAGCAGAGGCAGACGGATCTCTGTGAGTTCGAGGCCAGCCTCGTCTACAAGAGCTAGTTCCAGGACAGGCTCCAAAGCTACAGAGAAACCCTGTCTTGAAAAACAAAAAACCAAAACAAACAAACAAAAAACCAAAGTCATCCTTGGTTGCTACTGGAATCTCTCTAGCTGGACATTCAAATGTTAATTCCTCATGGAAAGTCCCCAGATCCCTTCCATGGGTCTGGGCAGTAGGGGTGGTACTAATAACGGAGGAGCCCCGAGAGGTCCAGGGAGACGCTGAAGTTCACACAGCAGTTAGAATGGAGACGCGCCCGGTTCTCACCTCTCTCTCCCCCTGCCCTTTGGTTTGTGTCTGTCTCCGCAGCTGCCCCTGGGGAAGATAGGCAGAGGCTTCAGCAGCAAAGAAGCTGATTTTCACGACGACTATGGCTCTCTCGAGAACGAGGACTGCGCGGATGACGACGACCTCCAAGGCAGGCCCGAGCAGTGCCGCCTGGAGGGATACAATAGCCTGGAGGTCACCAACGTGTAAGAAAGCCTCGGGACTCGGCTACAGAAGCGGAGAGAGAAGAGCAGCCCCACGGCCCAGTGCCGCCCATCCCCACTGTACAGAGAGGCCTGGGGCTGAGGGCAGATGCCAGAACAGACTTTCCAGAGACGGCCGCCGCTTCCAGTGGGCACCAAGGACAGAGAATGCCCACCTAGGTGTCTTATCTCTCTGAAGACAGGCCCTGAGGACACAGCACCCAGTCATGACCCAGCAGGTGGCCCCAGTGCTGTGGGATGTTCCTGGCACTCTACCCTGAACTTCCAAGAAGGGAAGGGGTGTCACTGTCAGAACACCCTTCTGGGAGGGGCAGGAAACTGCCCCCTCCACCCAGCCAGCCCTGGCAGAGCCGGGGCATTGAGAACCAGCTGCACAGCCAGCCAGCAGTGACCAGGTAGTGAATGCCGCCCCTCGGCCCACTGGGCAGAGAAGGTGAACTCTTATCTGGTCACTCACTCTGGAAGGATGCAAAGTGACACGGCCTTCCTTCCACTTTAAGAGTCCTCACCGTGAAGTGGACATGTTGGGCGCAGGAGGGGAATCTCTGCAGGGCAGAGGGGCCTGGCAGCAGAAGCCCTAAGGGCTGCAGGCGTCCTGTCACCAGAATGAGTGTGACTTTAAGAGAGTATGTGTGGTGGTTGGGGTTGCTGAGCTCTGTCCCCAAATAGTCATTCCAAGCATGGGCACAAAATGGGAGAGTGCCGGCCATTAACCCAACAAACCTCTGCTATGACGTCACCTGAGACAAGTGTGCTCACCCATGACCTAACAGAGGTGCGAATCCCACAGAACAAGGTTGCTGAGCTATCTGGAGCAAGGAGCTCCCAGCCCTTTTCTTGATCTGCCACTATTTTGCTGTGTGGCTTTCTCCCAGTGGCCTCACCTCTCTGTGCCTCAGTGTCTTACCTATAGCACTTCCCATTCCTCCCAAGGAAGCTGAGGATTAACATTCGCTAACATTTGCCACACGCTTTGAGCCTCTCAGGAAGCAACTTAGAAGGGATAGGATGGGGAGGAACGCACCTAGCAACTCCCATCAACAACATTTGCGGACACTGAATGAGTTCGCTCTGTTTCGGTTGGGTCCATAGGCAAGAGGGGGGTGCAGAATGTTTAACATTGAGAGTTTCCCAAAGCCCCCAGCAAGGCCTGGCTGGGAGAGCCACCACTGCGGTGGCTCAGAGTCGTACTGGGTGCAGCATCCAGGCCCAAGCCCACTGAGCAGAGACTTCGCCTGTTGACACTAGGGAGGACTGGCAGTTGTATTCAGTTGTACTCTGCACCAACTTTCTCGGAAGCCATTTGCACCAGGAGTCCAAGAAAGGTTCAGATTCCCAAAACTGACAGTGGGGTAGCTTCTGAGCCACCAAAGCCAGTCTTGTGCCATGATATAAAGAGTGTCCCCTTGTGGGAGGACCATGCACAGCCCGTGAACTTGAGAGTTGCTGGTCTCCATGTCGAAGACATCTCTCTAATGATCCCACAGACACAGTCTTCCTCACAACCTGAGTCCAGAGGCCTTGGGTTTTGGAGCACCCTTTCTGCCTGCAGGTCGTCCTCTGAACGAAACACATCAGAAGCCAGGTCGCGCAGGGTGAACCTCTTGGGTATAACCCAGCTTCGCTCGGGTTCTGCACCCTGGAGGGTTTATATATGCATTCCCGCCTCTGGAATCCCGAAGCCCCTAAGTCTGCAGCCCAGCAAGAGGAGGGAGGCCCTCTTCTAACTGAGGCCAAGGGCCACTCTCAAACTGCATCCCTAAAGGGTGGCACGACTCCAGGACCCAGGAATTTATCAACAACCTCTCTGGAAAGGTTGCCGGCTGTGCTGGCTCCTGAAGGGGAAGGCCTATGTGCACTTTCCTCCTAAGGAGGGGGTCCTATGACATCAGCAGGGCTCCTTCCTGGTGAACTCTGGGCTTCTGTCCCTCCCTGGCACCCCTGCCCATCTCCATCTATACGCAGTGGTCACTTCTAGCGGATTCTCGGTCTTGACCCTTCGGTGCAGGAGGTTGTCACGTGATAACAAGATCCAGAAGTGGAGAGAAGGGGTTTCTTCTAAGCCTAAGACAACTCCTGCCCCCCCCTCCAAAGATTGAGGTCATGAGGATGGGTGGGATCCTGGCAGGTGTGACTTTGGACTTCACTGTAGGGGCACGGAAAAGAGACAGCCCTGCTGGGACCCTAACACCTCTTCCCAGAGAGTCACTTATGCCCGAGGACTGCTTCACAAGCAGTGGAGAAAAGTGCCTCCTGGGTGGTGGCAGCTTCTGGGTCTCAGTTTCAGAGAAGCCAGTGTGGACGGTGACAATGACTCTGACCCATGAAAGGTTTGTAAATGCAAAACAAGTGAGCCCTGAATGGCAGAACCCCCACAATTCCCCAGAGGGAAGTCTAACAACGTAACAATAAATGCTGGGCCCTGCGGCCACCCCTCTTTTCTCGTTGACTTTCTCCTTTATTGTCCCAGCATCTTCTCAGAGAAGGGAGACTAGAAGCCCCTGACACTGATGGCTGAGGGTCTCAAACTGTTAGATGTGTAGACGCTCACTGCAGATGGGTCTGTCCGAGGGTCAGTATGGTTTCCAGGCAATGCTGTGGGTCCAGGGAACCACACATAGGTGCCACACACAGAGGGACCTTCCCAGCCAAGACATTGTCATCCTGGATGAGGCTGGACTGTGGGTTTTCCCCAGGACTCTTAGAGGCCCTGACAGAAGCCACCCAGCTTATCCTGTCTGCGTCTCCCAGACAAGAAGCTTCCGGCTTTAGACTAAGGTCAGGTGGTGTGTGCCCTCTCTAGTAGGTGCTTAGCAGGCAGGAGGTGAAGAACCAGAAGATACGGGAGGCAGTCTGGTCACAAAGTTTACCTGCTACCTGACTCTGCGCCTGAGGTCATGGTGACCCTAGGCAGGTGTCCCAAACGTCCTGTCTGTCTTCTGCTAATTTTTTGTTTTGTTTGTTTGCTTTTCGAGTCAGGGTCTTGGTCTAGCCCAAACTAGCCTGGGACTCAACCTGTAGCCCAGGCTAGCCTCTAAATTGACAGTAATCCTATCTCAGGTACCTAAGTCCTGGGGTTACAGATGTGTGCTACCGTAGCTGGCGTGTTTTTGTTTGGTTTTAGTGAGATGGGTTTGCTGGCAGTGTGGTGTGAGGTTAGTGCTCGGGACTTCTTATTGAACCAGGTCATTTAAGTACTGTGTTCTGTGTCAGGCATTCATGGGTGGAGAGGCTGGCTTTGCCGTCTAAGCCTGTCATTCACAGAGCGATTTTCTTCTGGGTGGAAGAAGGGAGGTGGGTCCTGCTTCCAGATTTGCCAATTAGGAAGTCTCTCTGTTCTGGAGAATTGGCCTGTAAACATCTAAGGTGGTCCCAGGCAGGGGCTGTGTGGCCCTGTGGGTAGTGTAGAGCTCGGATCTGGCTAAGAGCCCATTTTGAGGTCCTAGCTCCCTTCATTAGTGAAGGCCCAAGTGGATGTATATAAACCACCCATGCCTCAATTTTCCCAGCTGTCACATGAAAAGAGCGGTCCCTACCAGAGGGGCCTTCTGTGTGAAATAGGCTGACCTGTATACAGCTGGCACTCAGGTAGAAATAATTGCCCCTCCCAGCAGGAACATCTAGCCATCTCTGGAGAAATCTGGGATGTGAAGGCTCACTAGAGAATCGAGCTGGCGTAGTGTGTCCTGGCCCAAGACATCGGTGCAGCACTACTATGGAATTGTCACTGAGGGTCGTCCTGAGTCTTTGGGCTAGTGTCCCCACGGCCTCAATTCTGTCCCGGCACCTCTGTGAACTGCCAGGACTGACTACCTCCCTGAATATCACAAGGCTCCTCGTCCCTGGGGTCTGGCTTTCTTACTCCCACCTGGAGGGAAAGGGATCTTCCACCAAGGGAGAAGCCCCTCTGGCCACATCAGAACATCCCAGGGGCATCATGGATCAACCACTCCCCACACCCACTGGTTACCACTGGATAACCAAACCAACCTCGACAGAAATACTCAGAAAAACAATCGTGTTTGTAACAAACATGTAGGCCGCTGCCATCTCCTCACTCCCTAAGCAGTGTGATATTAAGTTCTGTCTGTGCGTCCAGGAGTACTGACAGGTGTAAGTCACCTATGGGCGATTTAGAGCATTTGGGAGGACGCCGGCAGGCAACTGCGGATCGTTGTTTCTGTTAAGGCCTCCTTCTAGTGACTGAGTCACCCCAGCGGGTTTCCAGACACTCACCCCCATCCCTGGAAACTGAGGGAGGACTGCTCCCTAGTTTCACTCAGCTGGTGGGTTAGAAATTCTAGCCTGTCTAAGCCAGTGCGACCACTTGGAAAGTTCCATAGAGCAGCCAGGAGACAAGCTACACCCATAGCCCAGGACTGGCTCCTTCTGAGACCTGTCTCCTTGGCCACCTCCTCCCTGTGTCTTCACGGCTGTCCCTCTATCGTCACAGTATGATAGCATTATCTGTTTACAGACACACAAGTCACATTGCACAAGACACCCCCACCCAAATCCTCATTTTCACTTCCTCTCCAAATACTGTTATAGTCTTAGGTCCTGTTGTTAGGACACCGACATCCAGATTAGGAGGGGATGTGGTCTAGCCCATAATAGTCCCGCACAACTCACCTTGGATTTCAGTCACTTGACTCAAGTGCCCCAGTTCAGTCACCCATCATCTTCTGAGTTTAAATCCAAAGAAAAGATGATTCCCACCCCTTCCTTCAGCTCCTACCAAGCAATTCATTATCTCCACACACCCATGCACACCCATGCACACCCTCAGCCTCCCCACACCACAGCAAGACCTGCATCTGCTTTGTGGAGTGACATGGGGGACAGGAGCAAGACAGACAACTCTGAATTCTCGTTCATAAAAACATGGACGAAAATTTGCTTTTCAAGATGCCAAAGGCCATAACCAGATGTTCCGCGGTGGCCATGCTGCATCTCCTCCCTGCCTCCTCCGAGGGGCCTCCAGGATTTCCGCTTCCATACAGAATTCAGAATCAGGGTCTAGGATCTCCATAGGAAACTTGAAATGTGTGCTTGCAGGCCTCAGTTTCTGCTACAATAGGAACCTTGTGGGTGACTCTAGGGCACAGCCAAGAGCTTGGCTTGCAGCTGCTCCGGCATGACCTTCCTAGGGTCATGACAGCCTTCAATTCCCATGGCGGCCACTAGATGGCAGAACGCGGCCCTGACGTGCTACCTTCAACTCAGCGTTCCTCCGAACCCTCCAGAGCTCCAGTCCAGCAAAACCCACCAAGCCTGGGCCCCTGGCGGTGCTTGCTCCTTTCGGAAGACCCAATGGGTGGTTTTTGGTGGAGAAGCAGCTTTTGTTTCCACGACAGAAGGCAAGACACACATCTTTAGTAGGACAGGCAAAATGCAGACTCAGGGTGAACCCAGAAACCAGGAGGCCAGCCCCCATCCCATTCTAGAAAAAGGTCCTGTTGTGAGTATGTGGGGGGATGGAGGGGTGTCATCAAGGGAGGCCAGGGAGATGTCTCAACAGATAAAGACACTTGCCTCCAAAACTACAACTTTGATTTGGTCCCCAGAACACATCTGGCGAAAGGAGTTGACACCTTTCTCCCACTAAATGAACAAATGCTTTTAAACAAGTCAGAGGACCCAAAGGAGAACCATGGGAATGCAGCCACCAGCCTCCGGGGATTTTCACCGAACTGGGCAGCACTTCCCATGTTCCCCCTGCAGCCACGGGGTCACTAACTCAGCATATCTGACCACTTCTCCTTCTCAGCAGTCCTGGGAAGTAAGGACGCTGGTCACAGCTGCTTTTAGCTTGGATCACCTCCAACCTCTTCCTGAGTGCCAAGGTCTCTCCGTGCCCCCTTCTCTGTCCTCTGACCCCAAGCAGATGGGAAGTCCAGGTCTGGCTTTACAGCCTTCAGGGTGAATCCCACAGAGCACCATTGGGGTTTTCCGGTGTCCACAGAGACAAGACCGCTTGGTTTAATGTCTAGGACTCTGACCTTGGCCTTCAAGTCACAGGTTTTCTGAGACTGTTTAGCATGGGCCCATCTTGTCACTTCTTCTCCCAGGGCATCTGTAGTCACGTCGGGAGCTTTTCTCTGAGGTCCACAATAAGAGCTTGTGTTTATAAAGCAACTTACCATGAACTAGAATTGCCGTCTGCTTTCCACCATCTTACAGAGAAGGATGCCTAGGCCCCAGAGGGCTAAACAATTTATCTAAGGGTCTGAGCCCAGTCAGCACCCCACAAAGCTAGAGCTTAGCTCCCCGGTGTTGGCTTGTGGGGCCATGCACCCCTCTAACAAGCTAGCAATTGCCTCCTGCACCTGCAACTCTTAGACACCCATGCTAGAAACCCGGATCAGTGTGTAAGGGTAATGCGAGAGAAAGGAATCGTTAATCTTCTAGCAAGAAAATATCGATCTTAGACTGGCTGGGGGCACACCTCAAATATTTGAGAGAGAGGGGGTTATAAACTCAAGGGTGGGTGGGTGACTTGGTGAGCCGTGGGGAAGGGGTGTTGCAGCTAACCCGGTAGAGTGCTTGTCCAGTTTGCACGGAGTCCTGGCTGTAATGTTTGCGTATCCGATCAGTGCGATGAATATCCAGACCCGCTCAAGAACAACAGTTATATTTTTTAATAATTGAAAAGAGAGGAAACTCACGCTAACAGAGTGAGAGGTCCGAAATCCGAAATGGTCCCACGAGCACCGCGTAGAGAGCCTGAGCACCTTTCTCTCCTGTTTTCCTACCTGGGCTCCAGGTCGCCACACCCTAGCCAGATGTGATTGGCTGAGCTTCCCCCTCACCTGGCTTCCATCCTCCGCAAAGCATGAAGCAGGTGTATTGCTCAACCTGTGATAGTTTTTTGCACTAGGGAGGTAGAAGCAGAAAAATCAGGAGTTCAAAGCCATCCTCAGCTACACGAGACCCTGCCTTTAAATGAGTAAGTAGGAACACCAGGAAGAGGACCAGGGGTGAAGTTCAACGGTCCAGAGCTTGCCTAGCACAATGGGGACCAGAGATTCAATCTCTAAATGAAGAAAGAAAAATAAAAATAAAAACCGCAATTAGTAAAAAAAGATTTAAATTTAAGTTACAAAAAGAAAAACCCAGAAGGTGGGTGGAGTGGGTGGGTGGAGAGGAAACTGAGATTGGTATGTGAAATATGATTGTTTTAAAAAAATGAAAATAAATAAGTAAATAAATAAATGGGGGAAACCTCAAAACTTCCCCCCTTTCTGACCAAATAGAGAGCAAGTAGCTCAGTGACGCTGTCCCGCCCCACATCACCCACGAGGAAATCCACAGGCTGGGCTGTCTCTGTCCCAAATTGTGCCAGTCCCCCACTATGCCGCCCCAAGCAAAGCTGGCAGTGGCGGAGGACTGGTGGGACATGCTTTAACGGGGGCTCCTGCCTACCCAGGGTGAGGGAG